TTAGGATTGATAGACATACACAATTATCTAACATTTGACCTTCAATGGTGACCTTGATCTTGATCCTACAAAAGCTATGCACACACTAGTCCTGTCAAAGTGAACATGTGAGCCTTTTTAGAAGAATTCCTTCAAAAGGTATAGGATATATAGGGCGAACTGACATTTGACCTTCAAGTAGGATGACCTTGAGGTAACAGCGGCTGCATAGGCCCTGCTCACTGGCCTATTGAGGTGAAAATTTAAAAATCCTACAAGAGGTAAATTGTTAGAATTGTAACTTCCGAATTCCGGAACTTCTGAAATCCGGAAACTTCTAAAAACCGAAAATTCTTTCGGTCCCGATTTTCCGCTTCTATTTTCTATTAATATAATACTTCTGAATTCTGGAACTTCTAAATTCTGAATTCCAGACGATATTTTCGTAAAATTAGAGTCAAATCAATGCAATTTTACTTCCAAAATCCGGAAATATCTAAAGGTGTGAAATACATTGTAAATCGAGAATGTTTTAAGACTCTTTTTGGTGATACATCGCAATCTATAAATGAAGAAAATTATGAGAACCACACAGACGAGAAATTAGATAAAAACTTTAGTGAAACTGAAATTAGAACCGCTGTATTTTCACAAAAAAATAACAAATCTCCAGGGACAGACAATATTATCAGCGAAATGCTTAAGTCAGCATATGATATTATATCACCATTTTTGTGCAAACTATATAATAAAATTTTTAATTCAATGAATATCCTATCTCATGGGGAGAAGGAATAATTGCACCAATATTTAAAAAGGGTGACATTAACGAATCTAAAAATTATAGAGGTATCACATTAATAAATATTTTGGCTAAAATTTATTCACAACTTTTACTCAATAGGTTAACCATATTGGCAAATGAACATGACAAAATTTCAAAACATCAATTTGGTTTTCAGAAAGGGAAGTCAATTATTGATTGCATATTTATTTTACATTCTATAATTTCTAAAGTCATTAATTCGGGGAAGAAATTATACTGCATCTTTATTGATTACCAACAGTGTTTTGATAAAATTGAAAGATCATTTCTATGGCAAAAACTCATTTCAGAAAACGTAAGTCTCAAATTAGTGAACGCTATAAAATCTATGTACAAGACTGTTGAATCATGTGTAAGGTATAAAAACTCATATTCAGAATATTTTAGCTCAAATATAGGCCTAAAACAGGGAGACCCCAGTTCATCTCTTCTTTTTATGCTGTTCGTCAACGACATAACACAATATATTAATTCAGACCTTGATGGGATTTTTCACTTTAAACGAGCTTAAACTGTTTTTACTTCTATAACGACCAGGCACTATTTTCTTCTTCGCCAGTTTCCTTACAGTTAATGTTAAACGATTCGTTAATAATTGTAATATTTGGGGATTAAAGATTAATACTTCTAAAAAAAAGCTATGATTTTTGAACGTGGCAGACATACGACATTTGATTTTTACATTGACAACACTCTAATTGAAATAGTTCCCTCTTTTAAATATCTAGGAATAACTTTGTTTAAAAATGGTAACTGGTTTCGTACCCAAAAAAGTATTTCGCAACATGCTTCATTTTCTTTATTTAATTTATTTAAAATACTTAATTACGCCGAATTTTCAATGTCCCAAAAGCTTTCATTATTTGATACTCTTGTCGGTTCCGTTCTTAACTTTGGTTCACAAATATGGGGCAGTCATAAAGCACCAGATATCGAAGCTGTACATACAAAATTTTTAAGACGGGTTCTTTGCGTCAAAAAGTCAACCAATTTATGTGCACTATATGGTGAAACTGGACGATTACCGATGGAATGTAATAGAAAAATAAATATGCTTAAGTATTGGGTACACATATTAAAACAAGATCAAAATTCGCTTATTAAACAAACATTTCTCATGCTGAAAAATCATACAGATAATAGAAATAATTTCTCTCAAAATTGGGCAACTCAAATCAAAATGATATTAGATAGTCACGGTTTCAGTTATATTTGGCATTGTCAGTTTGATATAGACATTCCGTTTGAAGAGATTAAGTTAAGAATTATTGATACTTTCAAACAAAATTGGTACTGTGAAATAAATAATTCTAGTCGCTTACATTTTTATTCAATATACAAACACGATTTTATGTTGGAGAAATAATTTTCAGATGTTTGAGAACAAAAATTTAGAATAGCTTTAACTAAATACAGAATATCAGCACATAATTTACGTATTGAAACTGGAAGATATGACGACACACCCAGGCAAAGTCGACTATGTACCTTTTGCAATTCTAATCAAATTGAGGACGAATATCATTTTTTGTTAGTCTGCCCTTACTATAGAGATATAAGAATAAAATATTTGCCAAGTTATTATTGCCATTGGCCAACAATCATAAAGTTTGAAAGTATCTTATCATCCAATTCTAGAAAAATAACTCAAAATTTATCAAGATATTTATACTTTGCCTTTAAAAGAAGAGGTAATTAACATACTTCTCTAAATTTATGTAGTAATCTTTATGTTTTTCATCACAAAAAAAATCAAATAAAGATTTATATTTTTGTCATATAACAAATATCCCTCCGCTAAAACAGATTTCAAAACATTTTGTTTTGCAAATTGTTGCTAATAACTATGTTACCTGTCTATTATTATGCTAGAAACGTTGTTATAATGTTTAAAGCAAATAAACTGTATTGTATTGTATTGTTTACCCTGCAGGAAGATTTAATTTCCCTGTCAATTGTTTACTAATTAGCGGTGATCGTGTAATTGGACACGCGTTAAAATCACAAACTGTGAAACGGCATGTTTGAAGTGATGCGGTCAATTAAAGTAATTTACGGCGGTCAGTTAATTTGAAGTGTTTATTAGCGGATTAAATGACAATTAATTGGGACAATGTGTGCATCAAAAAGTCTTTAGGGATTTTATTGCATTTGATGTACTAATTTAATTTAACTAGCATCGGACAATATGTAAGTTAAATTAAGTGTTAAATATCAATGTTTTCTTTTCCTTCACATCTTTATCTTGATTAAAAAGACTATTATATATGAATTATAACAGTTAATGGCCACAATTTCCTTGACATTTAGTGACATGTTATGGCTTAGTCTTGTCCACATTATCCAAAACCTCTGAATTCCGGAAACCTCTGAAATCCGAACTTTTTGACAAGACCCATGGGTGTTCGGTTTTCAGAAGTTACACTGTAGTTGACATGAAATTGTCTGAAATTGACCTTTACAGTGACCTTGACCTTAAAATCCACACCAGTTGCTTTTGATCAGCACTCACATAATTAATAGGCATTTTACCTTCCAGGTGTGACCTTGACTTTGAATATGTACAGCAGTGACACAAGTTTTGCACAAGTTTTGCACATTGACTTGTTGCAGTATTTAAGCCTAATCTGACAAAAAAACCTTCAATGGTTATATTGCATTTAAAGAGTGGACATGAAGTCTTATTTGACCTTAAAGTGACCTTCTTGTCATTGAGCTGTCACAGCGGCAGCTCAGGTTCTGCACATTGCCTTGTTGAGATGAAAGTTTTGAGCAAAGTGTGAAGAAAATCCAGCAAGGGGTATAGGATTTATAAAGTGGATTTGGTGAAATTGGATAGGCAAGTGACCTAAACTGAATAAGGGACATTTCTTTTGGTGATTATTAATTCTTTATCATCTGGGATTCTTTCCTCTCCTGAAATACATATATAGATCTATCATCTGACAGTACTAACATCTCCCTCTATTTTACAGTGTAGTTAGTAGTAAACAGGTCAGTAGGTAACATTAAAAGTCTTGGACATCCATGCCAACGTAAAACTTTGATATCAGAAACTAAACTGTACTGTACAAGTGAATCAAACATGTAGATTGAAGCTAGCAATGTTAAAGGTAGTGAATTAGTGAATATCATTTAGATAACAGAATCTCATGTGAAAAAACTGTGCATAATATTCAAATTTGAGGACCTTAGCTTAAAAATAAAAATTAAGTCAAAAGGATAAGTTTGAGGTATTCCAATGTGAAAGATTACTTTACACACAAAACTTTTTATTATGTGGGTCAAGGCTTGGAAGATTATCAGATACCCATGGCTTAACCATTAACATTTATCAGTTTATTAAGTTTCAAGTGAATACCTTTAAAGTAGTTTGAAGATTGATGATGGATGCAAAATTTTAACCAAACTTGGCCAAGCTTCTCTTAAAATCAATACTAGAGTTATGGGCATTGACCAGTGTTCTTCACTTATGATCCCAAAGATTTATATTAAGTTTCAAAAGGAAAACCTTCGGTAGTTTTTACATTAAAGGAACTCCACTGAGGTTCATAAGCCTAAAACCATAAAATTTTAGTTTCTCACATAGATCAACTGGTGCACCTAAAACGGAAATATATACAAAAGATAATTAAGAAATATACATGGAAATACACTGAAAATCGTATGTTTGTGTTATTCTCAGTCCGATTTGGGTGAAAAGCGTTTAAACGCTATTCAATTTAGGTCATTTTTGACAATTAAAACAATTATTCTGGAAAAACAAAGCAAGCTAATGATCTGAAATTTTGCACATAAATTATTGGTATAGATCTACATCAGATGGAGTAATAATCTCAAAAAAATATTTCTAGTCCCGTCATGTCAAAAAACCTCAGTAGAGTCCCTTTAATGTTGCATGCAAAACTTAAATCCAGAATTTCAAAAAGGGGCATAACTCTGTCAAAATACATGCTAGAGTTCTGGGCCTTGGAAAGTGACTCTGATTATGCTATTTAATAAGTGTGTAAAGTAACTAGCAAATATCATTAGTGGTTGATGTCAGATATGATGTTACATGCAAAACTTTTATCAAAGTGTTACACAGATGCCAAAATAGATACCGATTCCCGAGTGAGCAGGATAGCCCTACTATTTCTCCAAAGGTTGAGCTAAATATGAATGACAGTACTAAACAACAAAATAACTAACGACCAGGGTTATTTCTATTCTAATTACCTGTATTAGCCTTTGTTGGTGCAGCATTTAAATTTTGTGATTGAACTTGCTTCCCTTTATCTTCATTTTTCTTCTCTGTCATCATTTCTTTCTCTAAATTTGCCTCTTGCCGATATAAATAGTTTGCTAAATTTCCTTGTTTTGCTTTCTTCAGTAACTTTTTAAATATACTATAACCTTTAAAACCTTTATAGGTAACTTCGTTTAGTATTTGTCTTGTCTGCTTTGAAGTTGAAGGCAGCTCCTTAAATTGATAAAAGCACTGCTTTCAATAATTCATGCATTGATCAATAAAGCTGTCATTAAAGATTATCATTTTTTCACAGGTAGGGAAAGGGGCCCAGTACCCTTAGTTTTGGGGAAAAGTAACATGGTATTTTTGCAAAAGGTGAAGAAAAAACTTGATGCAAGTTGCATTTTAGGGGAATACTTCATGATTTTAAATAAACAGGTTTAGTGTTCTGTGACAAGGTAAAAACTGTCATTGGACAGCTGTCTTAAACCTTCTAGTAGGATAACTTTTAGTTACACAAAAAATACATACCCCAATATCTCGCACTTGATTATAAGGCAAGAATTCTCTTTCCAAAAACAAGTCCAATATAGAAGTTGGATTGAGGTCTTCCACAAATCTTGTTTGGCTTCTAGTCAGTACTCTTTTATAGAAATTATCATCTGAAAAAAAAACATATATAGAGAAATGATAATGTATGGTAACGGATGGGCCACAGTAACTATACGCCACGGAGTAATATAACTATTCACCACAGTTTAAAAACTATTTGCCACTTGTTAAAATACAAACTTTTACACACCTATTTTCAAACTGTTGATGAAATCCTTTTCTCCTTTTTATATTTCATTTGTTAATTTATTTAAATAAATTTTGAAAGTTAATCATACTAAAAGCTGTTTATAAAAACTGGAAAATTATACCAAAACAGAATTCATTGAATAAGTTATTCAAATACACGTTCAACCTAAGCCTAGTTGTGTGTGTGGGTCAAAGAAATCTTAAGTTATTGGGCGGACAAGCTGTTTGAAGTCAAGGCCCCTGTGACCTTGACCTTTGACCCAGTGACTTCAAAATCAATCTTTCCTTTCTAATAGCTTTTGATTTTGATGTAGAAAATGGGTAGGTATTAAAATCAGTGTAAACCAGAACTGCCACTGTCATGGCGTGAATACCCCCGCATACCACTTTGACAGAATTAACAGTGGCCATTTAGAGCTCAAGGACAAACTCCCTGCCAAATCTGAGGTTACTAAGCCAGTGCATTGCTAAGTTATGTATTCTACATGCTTCAAATGTGAAAATGTCAAAATCAATACACTGCAGACAGGCATTCTTAAGCATTTGAGCAGACAAGCTTATTATAGTAAAATCCTTGTGACCTTGACCTTTGACAGTCACCTAAAATCATGGGGTCATCTACTAGTCATAAACAACCTCAATACCAAATTATGAAGACTGTTGGCCAAAGCATCCTTAAGCAATTGATCGGAAAAGCTTTTTTTTTTAGTCAAGGCCCCTGTGACCTTGACCTTTGACCCAGTGACTTCAAAATCGATAGGGGTCACCTAATGGTCATGCTCAACCTCCATGCCAGAAATGAAGACTGTGGGTCAAAGGTTTCTTAAATGATTGGGCCGACAAACTTTTTTCAATCAAGGCCCCTGTGACCTTGACCTTTGACCAGGTGACCTCAAAATCAATAAGGGTCATCTTCCAATCAAAACTAACCTCCAAATAAAATATGAAGACTTCTGGTCAAAGGAATCTTAAGTTATTGGGAGACAAGTTTTTTTTAGTAAATGCCCTGGTGACGTTGACCTTTGACCCGGTGACCTCAAAATCAATAGGGGTCATCTATTAATCATGGCTAGTCTCCATGCCAAATATGAAGACTGTGGGTCAAAGAAATCTTAAGTTATTGGGGGGATAAGCTTTTTTAGTCCAAGCCCTTGTGACCTTGACCTTTGACCCAGTGACCTCAAAATCAATAGGGGTCATCTACTTACCATGACTAACCTCCATGCCAAATATGAAGACTGTGGGTCAAAGGAATCTTAAGTTATTGGGCGGACAAGCTTTTTTCAATCAAGGCCCCTGTGACCTGGACCTTTGACCCAGTGACCTAAAAATCATTAGGGGTCATCTACTTACCATAACTAACCTCCATGTCAAATATGAAGACTGTGGGTCAAAGGAATCTTAAGTTAATGGCCGGACAAGCCTTTTGAAGTCAATGCCCCTGTGACCTTGACCTAGTGACCTCAAAATAAATAGGGATCCTCTTGTAGTCATGACCAATCTAACTTCCAAATACGAAGCCTGTGTGTCAAAGGAATCTTTTAAGTTATTGGGCGGACAAGGAAAAACTGATGGCCGGCCGGACGGGGTGACGGCGGATACCCCCCTTACAACTTTGTTGTGCGGGGGTATAATGAATACAGGCTATACAGGCAATTATGGACATCTTCGGGCCATTATCGCATAATGGCGAGCAGCAACCAAGTATTAACCTCTAATTAATCAATTTATGTAATGAATACATGTTTTTTTTAGTTTTTTTTTCGCAATACCCATTTTTTATATTTGACAAATATATTTCAATAAAAATATTAATTGACATATTTGTATGCATATATGTTGAATTTGATATTTATTTCAACATATGTTTATTAAAATTCTTGCAAATGTACTCCTGTAATTATGTTACTCATCTGAGCTGGGGGCTTAATAACTTTATATTACGAATCTTAAGAAACATTATTATTGTCATTATAAAATTATTTTTAAAAAGTTTGTTGATTTAAATGAACTAGGGCCCATCAAACTAAGAAAATAATTGTTACAATCATACTGTGGTATTCAACTGCACACATGTGGCGAAAATTGTTATTTGACTGCTGCGAATCGTTATGTGGCGAATTGTTATTGTGGCGAATCATTACTAATTCATAGAAAGATATAACCAGTAAAGGGACAGGATAGTCTGAATATCTAATCAGACCAAACTTTACAATTTAAAGATGCATGCCTACGGATGAGTAAATATATTTTCAAAAAAAATCAAACTTATATATAATAAGAAAACTATTTTAAGAGTTTAAGAAGGGTAAAAATGTTCACAATCCAAGTCAATCTTTGTATGTTTTTTGCCAACTACGACTGCATTAACTGTCTTAAAATTTATTAACCTTTTATCAACCATATTGATAATGAAATAAGGGCTAATTTTTCACTTTGAATTTCAAGTAATAACAAGTAAAAAGTAGAAGTTAAAACATACCCTGTAAAAATACTAAGGAAGTTGAATTACTGAGTCACCTGATGGAACAATTATCTTTGGTGGGAATGGCTTAGTAAGCCTTTTGGATGCTTTCTGTCAGCAATATAAGAGTCAATACTGCTAGCCTATATTCACTGCACAGGTTAGCCTTATGGCATGCCCCCTTAAGCACCTGCTTAGGCAGAATTTAACATGAAATAGTAAAATTAGGAAACAGATATCCATTTTGAGTGCATTGTTGTAGAAAAATGCATGGTTCAAGATCAAACGGTAGCAATATAATAAAGAAGGCCGACAGGCCTGAGTGGCTTATCGAAAAGAAAATTAAAGAAAAAAAATTGTTTCATTTCTTAACCTTTTCCCTTATATAAGCGTGTTTCGACGGCTTTTTGCCCCACCCCACCCCCTTTTTTGAGGCCTCAAACAGTGAAAAAATGCCCTGTTTAGGCCCCAAACACTGTTTACCGTTTGAAAAATGTTGTTTATAAAAGTGACCACTTTTTCGGCGCCGTCCCCTATCCAAATATATCATCAGGGGGTTGCCAGTTGCTTCTGTTTGGGGGGTTTGCAGGGGCGGAGTCCCCCTCATCGGCAAGAAAATTTTGGACATGTGACAGGCTAAAAATGGCCTCAGGTCGTTCCTAGGGTAACTAGTAACCGACGCTGAAAAGCCTTTTACTCTATCTCAAATCATTGAGAAGTTGTCGCACTTTGAAATCAGTTTTGATGGAAAAAACAATGCAAAATAGTGATTTTTGGCAATTTTGAGAAGTCCCCCGTTGCCATGGTAACAGGAAATTTACCATTGAGCATGCTGTTACAGAGCCTATGGTGTAGTCAACATCTGTGCCAAGTTTCATTAGTATTGAAGCATTTTTCATAGTTTCATAGCAGTTTGAACTTGTTACAGGAGGCTTTTCAATGAAAACGGCCATTTTTCGCAATATGCTCATGGGGTAAAAGGTTAATTTTAATAGGTCTGTAAAGTCACACTTGTTGTTTTGTCTAAGTATGAATCCTTTCCATAAATAAATGAAAAAGTTAAAAAATATAATTAAAATTTATTCATTTGATGGTCAAGGTCATTTAAAAAATGAAGGTCATATCTAAATTATTCCACATGTCTGTTTGGTCACAAGTGTTGATTTGCTTACATATGAATCTTTGAGATAAATCCTTACATAAAACAAGAGGGCCATGATGGCCCTGAACTCGCTCACCTGTATATAGGCCCCCCGGAGCGGGGCCAGTTAAACCCTAGGGCTTTTATTTGAACAAACTTGGTAGACACCCATTAGAACATGCTAAACATCTAAGGTCTAGCTTGTTGGATTTTTTAAAAGAAAAGTTTTTTCTTTACTCATATATTTAAAAACAATGACACCCCTGGGGCAGGGACAGTTTTGACGCCAGGGCTTCTAATTTAACAATTTTTGAAGACACTTACTAGAAAATGTTTCATGCTTAATATATAAACTCTAGCTATTCGGGTTTATTCAAAAAGATTTTTAAGTTTTTGCTATACACATATAAGGAAAATCAATGTCCCCCGGGGCGGGGCCAATTTTGACCCCAGGGCTCTTATTTGAACAAACAAGGTAGACATCCATTAGAGCATGTTTCATGCTAAATATCTTAGCTCTAGCTCTTTGGGTTCTATAAATTAAAGAAGATTTTTAAGTTTTTTTCTATATTCATATAGGGAAATTTAATGACCCCCTGGGACGGGGCCAATTTTGGCTCTTATTTGAACAAACTTGGTAGACACCCATTAGAACATGTTTCATGCTAAATATCTTAGCTCTAGCTCTTTGGGTTCTTTAAAAGAGGATTTTTAAGTTTTTACTATATGCATATAGGGAAAATCAATGACTCCCGGGGCGGGGCCAATTTTGACCCCAGGGCTTTTATTTGAACAAACTTGGTAGACACTTATAAGAAGATGTTTCATGCTAGATATCTTAGCTCTAGCTCTATGGGTTCCTTAAAAGAAGATTTTTTAAGTTTTTACTATATGCATATAGGGAAAATCAATGACCCCCTGGGGCGGGGCCAATTTTGACCCCAGGGCTTTTATTTGAACAAACTTGGTAGACACTTATTAAAAGATGTTTCATTCTAAATATCTTAGCTCTAGCTCTATGGGTTCTTTAAAAAGAAGATTTTTTCAGTTTTTACTATATGCATATAGGGAAAATCAATGACCCCCGGGGCGGGGCCAATTTTGACCCTAGGGCTTTAATTTTAACAAACTTTGTAGACACCCATTAGAACATGTTTCATGCTAAATAACTTAGCTCTAGCTCTTTGGGTTCTTTAAAAGAAGATTTTTAAGTTTTTACTATATGCATATAGGGAAAATCAATGACCCCCTGGGGCGGGGCCAATTTTGACCCCAGGACTTTTATTTGAACAAACTTGATAGACACTTATTAGAAGATGTTTCATGCTAGATATCTTAGCTCTAGCTCTATGGGTTCTTTAAAAGAAGAATTTTTAAGTTTTTACTATATGCATATAGGGAAAATCGATGACCCCCTGGGGTGGGGCCAATTTTGACCCCAGGGCTTTTATTTGAACAAACTTCGTAGACACTTACTAGATGATGTTTCATGCTAAATATCTTAGCTCTAGCTCCATGGGTTCTTTAAAAGAAGAATTTTTAAGTTTTTTACTATATGTATATAGGGAAAATCAATGACCCCCTGGGGCGGGGCAAATTTTGACCCCAGGGCTTTTATTTGAACAAACTTGGTAGACAATTACTAGAAGATGTTTCATGCCAAATATCTAAGCTCTAGCTCTTTTTTTTTCGGTTGCCATGGCAACCAGAGTTCTGCATGGAATTAAATTCTTTGAACAGTTTTTAAAGGTGACCACCAAAGGAACATTCCTGTGAAGTTTGGATGAAATTGGATTAGTGGTTTATAAGGAGATGTCATTTGAAGCAAAAGTATACGGACGACGGACGGACGGACGGACGGACGTCCGGCCGAAATGGAATAAGGGGCCATTTCTTTTGTTATTTCCTATTGTTTAATAGAGGGCCAATGGCCCCGTACTCTATTGTTACGGAATGAACTCTATTGTTCTCTTTTGTTCTGTTTACAGTTAGATGGCCCCCTATCCTTATTCGGTAGTGCGGACGGACGCCGGACGAAAAGCGATCACAAAAGCTCACCCTGTCACTTTGTGACAGGTGAGCGAAAAACTAGTCACACAATGTCAACACAACAAAACAGTTAATGAAACTCATAAAAACAAATAATTCAAGGAGCACAAACTAAGTAAAGTCTGGTATTCAAAGTCATGTACTTTTAAGCTTGTCCTTTAACCTACATGTATAGAGTGATTTTGAACATTTCGAGAAACAGCATGACCTATTGTCGTCTGACTTTTGAAACATCCATTGTTAGTTTCAAGTTATGGCAATATCTAAATTCAGCAATTTAGTTTGTGGTTAGACTGCAGTGACTTTCAGATTGGACAAATTGGACAAAATAAAAGCTAAATATCAACAAGCAATTATCATAGTATTGCAAGCAATCCATAAGTCCCCTACCGGTTAGAACCCCATCAACATTCTGAAGGGCCATTGGCCATTCACTAATGTTTCAATTTTCTCTATTTTAAGTAAACTTGTTGGAAAAGTTCTTTAAAAGTGATCACAGGAAACAGTTTTTATGAACAGACAGACAGACGGACTGAAGGACACTCTAAAGTTAATATTTGAAACATCCCTGTTACCAAAATATAACATTTTAAAAGCAAAATTCTTAAAGAGGAGATAACTCTTGAATTAAAGATGCAATTTCATCAAAATTTTCAGCTCTTTTTGACTAATCACAAATATTGCTATATTTGCCATGTTTTAAGCCTATTTGTTGCCAAGGCAACTGATATTTTTTCAAAAAAGGAAGAACAGATAAGACATGCATAATCTCAAGACTGCTATCTACCCATATGTCAAGTTTCATAAAAATATTTCCAGTACTTTTTGAGTTATCACTGGATTCAGTTTATGTGTAAAATTTGCCATATTTTCAGTCTATGTGTTGCCATAGCAACCAGAATTCTCAACATAGGAAGAAAATAAAAAGACGTGCATAATCTCAAGACTGCCATCTACCCATATGTCAAGTTTCATAAAAATATTTCCAGTACTTTTTGCTTTATCACTGGATCCAGTTTATGTGTAAAATTTGCCATATTTTCAGCCTATTTGTTGCCATAGCAACCAGAATTTTCAACATAGGAAGAAAAGAAAAAGACGTGCATAATCCCAAGACTGCCATCTACCCATATGTCAAGTTTCATAAAAATATTTCCAGTACTTTTTGCGTTATCACTGGATCCAGTTTATGTGTAAAATTTGCCATATTTTCAGCCTATTTGTTGCCATAGCAACCAGAATTTTCAACATAGGAAAAAAAAAAGAAAAAGACGTGCATAATCTCCATACTGCCATCTATCAATATACCAAGTTTCATAAAAATATTTTCAGTACTTTTCAAGTTATCGCGGGATCCAGTTTTGTGGACGGACGGACTGACAGACAGACAGACGGACGGACGGACAGACGGACGGACAGACGGACGGAGGGTAAACCTAAAGTCCCCTCCGGTAAACCGGTAGGGGACTAAAAAGAGTAAAAACCTTTAGTTTCCAAGGCGATCTCATTTCGTATTGCCTTGGAGTCCTGTCTCGACATTTTGCTCTTCAGACTGGCGTCAACTGGGACAAGTTCACGGCTAATCTGACCATCGTCGGCATTCGTCGACAACCAACGCTGACACGGGAAGAAATATCTGAAATCAAATGATTCATAATATAGGATAGTATACATTAAACTAAAATAGGAAAGTCAGTTTTATAGTTCAATGACTGAGTGTTGTCTTTTTCTTTTGTACGCCAAAGTTCATGAGATCTGAAAGTTCACATTGCACAGTCATTATGTTGCCAATAATATTGCATGTTAAACTACTTTCATTCTAAATAAATATTTGTTATGCTGAATATCACTGGCATCAACTTACAAGTAAAATATAAGCATATCAAAACTAAAGACCAAAGGTAAAATAACATTCAATAACAAATTAACATTCCCACATCAATTTTGATATCAGTTACATAGTTTAAAAAAAATCATCGAATGCAACAAAATAATATCTGACTTCTTTTTATTTTTCGGGTCGTCCACTTCCACTCTATCCAGGAACCATGCAGCGCCACCACCCGCGTTATCATGTCGAATCTCTAACTTCCCAAGCTTACCAAGTTCAATAGCTTTCACAATGAAGACGTCCTCCTGTTTAATATGAAATCATAGCATTTAACAACCTAATCATTTTACATCGTATAGTTTCACAATCAAGCCTGATATTAATTTCTTCATATTAAATCAAGTACCAATACCTCATATTCTCAAAATGTTTACACATGTACAATTATATTACGTAACCTTCTACGTATAACATCATATTAACCCTTAACATGCTGAAATGGATTTGCCCTTCTTTGATATTCGATCATTCCAGATTTCAATATCAAAATACAAAAATTTTGGAGAGGCCCATTTCAAAACAATAACATTATTTGGGCAACGAAGTAATCATGAATTAAAAATAAATGATTTTGCAGTAACTTTAGTGAGAAATAGAAACTTCACAAATGTGTGTAATGTGATGAAGGCTCAATAAACCTGGTAATTGTGAAATGTTACACCACAAATCATGTTTCAACTGCCAGTAAAGTGTATGCCGAAGATATTTTATTTTTCCCATAAAGAATGTATAGGAATGGTTGATTTTGTATATAAAATTTCTATATAATAAGTAAATAACATCAGCACCTTTTGTCATTGAAGACAAGTAACCGGTGTAAAAGTCAGGATAAACTTAGGCTAGACCAAAAACTGGAAACAGTCCATGCTTTATACTGGTGGTATAAGGCTGGCCTGGTCCTATGCTAGTGGTAATAGGCTGGCCTGGCCTATTTTAACTGTGGTATAAGGCTACCTGACACTAACCAGGTGGTATTAGGCTAATTGACCTCTATACAGGTGGTGTAAGGCTGGCCTGGCTCTATACTAATAGCATAGGTCAGTCATTGTCATTGCTGATGCTCAAAATAAATCATATTTGTTTATTTTAACAAACCATCATGCATCTACTAAATAATGCAAACATAACTAGTAGAAAACAAACTAAAAGGGAACCATAAAGTTATTCACCACTTAAACTTTTTACTAAACAAATGTCATTCATGCCGATGCTAATTTAAACAAAATAATCCACAAATACATACACGTCTTTAAGTCACTGTGGCATGCACAATTTCCCCATTCTTAACTAATTTTACAATTTACATAGTTTATTTTTTGTAGAATCCGGTCAACATTTGAACAAATATCTACAAGCATTTAAACAAAACAACTAGTAGGAATAACTCTAACATATATATCACAAATTGTCCAGTCAGAGAAGCCAAAAAAATGGGTCAACCTAGAACAAATTGCAAAAGTTTTGTTTTCACTTTTTTTATTTCCATTAATATGTTGTTAATCATCAGTAAAAAGTTGCAATCATATAATCTTGTTAAAAGCGTAATTGATTGTTATTTTTAACAATCAAGAACAGTATATCTAATTGATATGAAAGCAATGCTTTTGGATTTGATTATTTTATACAATATGATATTTTCATAGATATTCTGTTCATTATGATTTATTTAAAGCCAGTTTTATTTAATTTCCTTCATTTTCTACCATTTAAAGAATAAATATATATACGAGTTAAGTACCCCACCCACTTTTGTAAAAAGGTAAAAAAATTACTTTTTAAAAGTTTATGAAAAAAAAAGTAGTATTGACCATGTAAAATGAATGGTTTAATATCCAACAAATTTTTAATACAAAAAAAACATCAAGAAGCAGTGTCATTAGTTGCACTTCTTTTAAATAATAACAGGAACTTTGTGCAGACTAAGTATTATTTTCAACACAATGAATTCCTAAACCTACTATCAAATTAAAACAAAACAGTTTAGAAAATTGGCATGAAAAAAATTATAAAAATACAATTTCAAATATAACTACACTATTTTTGATAGACATTATGGTCATTATAATTTCTTTTCATGCTAGCAGAATTTGTTTCTTTTGATTTAAAGAAACTATTGAAAAAAATCACACCACCCACTTTTGTAAAAAAAGAAAAAAAATCCATTTTTTTTAAATTCAAGAAACATATACAATCTGTTATTAAGTATGTAAAATTAAAGGTTTTGTGTAAAAACAAAAACATAAAAAATGCCATTTGTTGCACATATTCATAGTAATTAATACATTCAACACCTGATAATTCTCTAACCTATAATGATATACCAATAAAAGCAAATATGACATGAAAAATTCAAAAATTTGATGTGATTTGATAATTTCAAATAATTCTAAGTTGAAATTTATTGTATCAAAATTTAAAATCAAAATTTATCGGATTCAAAAAATGATAAATTGAAGAGTATAAATACACATCAAAAAGCATACAAAGTAATTAAATTAAGCGCACTGATTCTCAGTAATAATATAATGTGTGTTGCATTCTGCATAATATTTTCAACACATAATACTAGTATATAATTCAACCTACTTTTATATTAAAACAAATCAATTCACAAACATTGGCATAAAGAATTCATAAATTGCCTAACATAACAACATTTATCTTTCATGGTATTATGCTTATACTATCATTTTCAATAAACAACATGCATTTATAATTTCTGTATTGTTAAAAGTCTTCAAAATCAAGAGTTGACATTGTTAAAGAGTTTGAGCATGAAATACCCCTGCATTCCCCACAGCCTGCTGAACATTCGAGCCCATGCTTTCGGCACGAACAGTGCTTAGAGTCACATTGACCTTTACAGTTACATCGAATAACCATGATAAGGAAATCAGGCGCTGGTGGTAAACTGGTTTTCACAGGAAGGAACATGTCATTTACTAACTCCCAGCCCCATTCTAAAGGATTGAGTCCGTCATTTCCTATCCACATCGGTGTTTAAAGATAGACTCTCAAACTATGGTTTGTGGCTGCAGCAGATGTTGGTGGCAAAGAGCTGACTTGGACAACAGATGTTGAGTTTGCAACTTTATTCGAAAACTTCTGAAACCTAAGCTTGTCAAGTGTGGGTTCTTTTTTTCCATCAAACAGAAGGGATAAAATCTCGCCAGACTGAAAAACAGATGACCTTGATTTTGCTTCCATAAATCTCTCAGATTCTAGTCTAAGGGTCTTACTACAAGTGAAATGTTTCAGTGCAGAAGGCTTTCCAATACCATACACTCTTGAAGTTGTATCACAGCCAGTCATGGCATGAATAAGTGGAAGCAAATTACAAATGTCGGAACCTAAAACCGTTTTTGCTTTTTGAATATGCCATACTTTGTTACTTTTCTGCATTTTCCCACTTTAAATAGCCACAGTTTTCATCGTGCCTGTCACATGGTACAAAAGTAAAACTAGAAGATCTGTATCTTCACCAACAACCATAGTTGGCTGATTTACTGCCAACTGCAAAGCAGTTTTCACAATTGTAAAATCGGCATCAGCTGTACATTGGAGACATCTTACGCATTTACTTGACAAATATTGTGCAAGAAGTGATATGAAAGTTTGTTTGTTTTCTGGATTTTTCAAGAATGTTTCCTTTTTCCCTCTAAAAGATGTAGATAGAGAAAATAATATCTTTGGGCCAATTATTCCTTTTGTTCTACAGATATGAGAAACGTCTTTAGTTGTGGGTCCACAGTCATAACCGTCGAATACAACTACAGGTGAATTATACCGAGACTAAATGTAGTCGAAATACTGTTCAAATATTGTTTCAAACGAAACGTTTTTTTTCCAGGTCACTGTTTGTAGAAGTGATCCTCCATCAATCACGTGAACCAAATCTTGACAGGAATCTAGCTAATCTTTAATCCCACAGGTACCTGTTTTCCAAATAGCATCAGCTAATGAGGACTTCTGAGCTTCTCTCAATAATCCTGACTCATCAAACAAAGAAGATGGAACTCCACACAACTCAAACTTAAATATATATTCAACGTTGTCAACATGTCGACTAGCTACAGTAGTAAGCCGCTGGAAGAGCAGTTGTGGGTCTATTTCAATAGAATCTCCGGTTACCTTCACCGAGTTTTTTTTCATTCAGTGTGACAATTTGTTTTGATTTTCTGTACTTATATTCATGTAAAGCCTGTCCAGCCATTTCGTCTACCAAAGCAACTCCAATCTTTTCTGCCATATCAGAGTTTACTTTTTCATCTGCAGTTACACCAGTAAAAATGTTCTGCAAATACTCAGATTGGGCTTCGAATGGACTGTGGTCAGTCAAAAAAGATAAAAAGCATTTTACATCTTTATCATCCCTAGCTATTCTTGATTTACCCTCATCCTTATGCTGTTCACTAGTTGTGTAATTCTTCCCTGTATATTGCTGCATAACAACATTCATTTCAGTAGTTGCTGGCATTGAAAGTAACCAAAGTGCTCGCTGTCCTTCTGTCATTCCTCTGCCTCTTGTCAGTCCTCCTGATGTTTTCAGGGACCTCATGAGTACCTGTTCAATTGCAAGGTCTGTTGAAATTCCAGCCCAATATCTGTCACTTCGTCCTACAACATGATTTCGGTCCAGAAATTGCCTGTACACATCAGGGTGTGTTTTTTCTAAAGCAAGCATATTCTGCAAATATATGTAGGCAGATTTCAAATACAATGAATGTCCAGAAGCTGCAAAGTAGGGAAGCATTTTCTAAGCGCTGCAAGATGTCCAGTCCAACTTCCAGTTCTCTCAGCTCGTATAAACTGCTGCAGAATTGAAATCATTTTCATATACTGGATCCATAATGCGGGTATTCTATATTGCTTCAAGTTGTCTTTTACTTTTGAAATATTGTCAAAGAGTAAAAAAATTAAGGTTTTTGTCATTGCAGACATCATCTTTGTTTAAATAATCTTTCAAACTATTATACATTGACTGTAAGTTCTAAAGTATATCGTTATCTTCAACAAGTCCTTCATTTTCAGAGCTTATTTCCAGAGCATTTTCTGTAACAAGTTTGGATACAATATCAACTTCAATTGTTTTTTCCAACAATATTGTTTGGAGAGCTGTGTCTTACCAATAAATGTCCCCTTACTGCTCTTGCAACTGCTTTCCCTGTCAGCATATGAACAACAGCATTTGGTGAGTACACTGTTTCTAGGAGATCGTTCAATCCGGAACCACCCATGACGTGAC